TGCATATAATGGGGTTGGGTTTGTCTACCTCCTCAGATTCTGTCCTTCAAGCAGGATGCGGCACAAGGCCGATTTTATGTGGGTCTAATTCTAGTCCATAAGCTCGGATAAAAATTCCCCGTAGACAACGCATACACGGGGTCAGGCTTATCTACTTCCCCAGACGTGACTCTGCCCTTCAGCGTAGCCTCATTTGGGTTCCTCTATTTCCAAAGACAGAGTTTAACAAGCCGGGTATTGTTAAACCCAGAGGTTTGGCTGACTCAACATAGAAGAAGACTCTTACTTTCCATACGCCATGTTACTTTTAAATTACTCTGGCTCTCTTTCTTCATAACCTGTATCAAAAAGTCCAGTTCTTATTGGTGGCCTCGACACGTTCCAATATTTGTTAGGGGGCGTGGGAGGTAATGGATAGAAACTCGGATTGAGAAATAGAAGAGCCAAGTTCGAATTCCAGTCGAATTATTGCATTCACTTAAACGCAAACAATGTTCGGAATGATATAAATCCATCTCTTCCTCCCAGTTGGATCCTATAGCCTTGGTTGGCAACCAGTTTATGCGAAGGAAAACTCTTAATTCAAACCTCATTTTTGGTCTTGTCTCTTTAACTTCTGAGAAAATGAATATCAACGGTCCAAAAGGAGCCGGCAAGGTATTGCACTATTCTGCGTTGAATGCCAAAACGAACCAGAATTGTGAGATAGAGGCGAGCGGTGACCCCATTGTGATTTCTTAACACTTACTTGTTTCTCCTGTTCTGTTAATATTATTCAAAGCATTGATCGGTAGAACTACATGTCTATTTGCTTCAGGTCTCTACGTTTACTGCAAGGAGATTGTCCAACAATCATTTTCTTAGAGGTATTGCGATATATAACAAAGCAGACAAACCCTCAGGCTTTATTTCTAATGACATTTTCCTATCTCTTATTTCTTTGCTTAGTTTATATATGTCCTCTTCTTTTATTGCCATGGGACTCCAGATTTTGGTGTCGCAATTTTTTGTCGTCAACTGCTGCAATACAGATATAATGAAAGATACGGGGAGCGATGGATAAATTGTCGTCGACGTTACGCTAAAATGAAAATAGCACTGACATTTTATTAAAACAAATACATTTACCAAAATTACAAAAATATTTTGAAATAATAAAGAGTAAATTTATTCAATAAAATTGCCATTGGCAAAAATGAAAATAGCACTGACATTTTATTAAAACAGATACATTTACCAAAATTACAAAAAAAAAAAAATATTTTTGAAATACTAAAGATTAAATTTATTTAATAAAATTGCCATTGGCAAAAATGAAAATAACACTGGCATTTTATTTTAACAGATACATTTACCAAAATTACAAAAAATATTTTGAAATACTAAAGGGAAAATTTATTCAATAAAATCGTCATTGGCTTCAACCAGGGCCACTAGACGACTTCGTAATCTCTTTAAAATTTTATGGACGCTATCCTTGTTTAAATTCATAAATGCTGTCCTAATCGTTGTCTTCAGTTCATCTTTAGCATTACAAGGAGTTTTATCGGTCACTCGCTCAACTTCACCCTGCACATAATAATCAAGGGGTGTTTCAGTAAAGGGGAATTAGGTGGATAGATTTAAGGGGCGATGTGGTCTCAAATATTGCCTCACAGCCAAGACTGTGTCCTCCTGCTTGTGTGACGTGATGCAAAGTCATGTTGTCGGACATAGAATCTTCCAGCAGCCACCCTCTCGTGCTCTCTTCTGAGGGTCTCCTTGTTTAAGTTGTTGAATGCTTCCATAATCTTTGCCTTCAAATCATCTTTCGTGTTAGAAGAGGTTTTGTTGGTCTTTCGCTCAACTTCACCCTGGACATAATAATCATAGAGGGTTGTGGTATAGGTAGTTAGGTGGTCAGATATAAGGGGTGATATGGTCTCAAATATTGTCTGACAGCCATGACTCTATTCTCTGCTTGTGTGGCACAGTGCAGAGTCCTGCCAGCAGCAACTATTTTCACCCAGTGCAGCAGTACCTCTTCAAGGCACTTTATGCATAACCCCGTGTTGAGTGAGTCTCTTTGGAAAGATAAAGGGAGATTAAACGTCACTATCACTAGTGATGACAGCAAACACCATGATGTTGAATGGGTATATCCAACTCTTTCCGAAACATCTGCCCTGTCCTTAGATTGATAACCAAACACTCTTAAATGTCTGGAACTTCCGGTGCGAATGCAAAGTACTACAGCATACCATTTCCACATTTCTAATTGACTGAATTGCCTCATGATGCTTTTTTCCTCTCAGACGGTTCCCAGCTGAGCCTAATATACGGTGCTGTCGACAAAATCCAAAAAAAAAAAAAAAAAGAAAACAAAAAACGCGCATGCGTGAAATTAAAAATATAAAAGCGACGATTTACCAATCGCACCCTGTATATCAGTGCGTTCACACATATTCTCATGAACTGTTTAAATTAATATGTTCAGGTATTTGCAAAGATTCAATCAAGGTCCAATGGAGAAAGAAGAAAAAAGCGTAACTTATTTTCTTTTTTTTTTAATGTAAGTATGAAATTTCATTAAAGATGGCCTCAATACAAAGCTCAGAAAATGAAAATGGCGGATAACAACAAAAGCTTTTCATTAAAGAATAACTAGACATGTCTTATAATCTGTAGTAACACGGGAAAAAGAGACAAAAATAAAACTTTGAACAAATATAGAATGAGACCGAAAGAACGGGAAAGAAAAAAATCTCATTTTTTCGCCTTAATTGATTTATTTTCTTCTTTCATGTTTACCAACACTACGACCCTCTTCCAATACAGAGAGTATTATCTGTCACGGAGGAGCAATTATTTTCAGTGACACAGACGAATGAGATTTGAAGTTGTCTGCGTTTGGTCTGTCTAAGAGTTTGACTGAATTAAATCAGGGGAATGTTAATTCATTCGGTTGACGTCAAACTTCTTTCTTACTTTACTTCTTTCTTGGCGTCTGTCTTTCAGTCCAGCATTTTTTATTTCGTTTTTTTTCTCGTCTTTACAAACATCTTTCTTTCTTTCTTTCTTTCTTTCTTTCTTTCTTTCCCTCCCTTTATTTCTTCCCTCTCTTTGTTTGTTTGCTTCTTTCTTTACTTCTCTTTCTTTAATTTTCCCTCTCTTTATTTGCTTTTTTGTTTGTTTCTTTCTTTCTTTTACCCATTTCTTTCTTTCTTTCATTCTTTCTTTCTTTCTTTCATTCTTTCTTTCTTTCTTTCTTTCTTTCCCTCGCTTTATTTCTTTATTTCTTCCCTCTCTTTGTTTGTTTGTTTCTTTCTTTCCTTCTTTTTTTCCCTCTCTTGGTTTGCTTTTTTTTCTTTCTTTCTTTCTTTCTTTCTTTCTTTCTTTCTTTTACCCCTTTCTTTGTTTCTTTGTTTGTTTCTTTCTTTCCTTCTCTTTCTTTCTTTTTCCCTATCTTGGTTTGCTTTTTCTTTCTTTCTTTCTTTCTTTCTTTCTTTCTTTCTTTCTTTCTTTCTTTCTTTCTTTCTTTCCCTCTCTTTATTTTTTTATTTCTTCCCTGTCTTTTGTTTGTTTGTTTTGTTTCATTCTTTTATTCTCTTTTTTTCCCTCCCTTTGTTTGCTTCTTTCTTTCTTTTCTTTCTTTCTTTCTTTCTTTCTTTCTTTCTTTCTTTTTCTTTTTCCCTTTCTTTCTTCCTCTCTTTGTTTGTTTGTTCTTTCTTTCCTTCTTTTCTTTAATTTTCCCTCTTTTATTTGTTTTTTGTTTGTTTCTTTCTTTCTTTTACCCATTTCTTTCTTTCTTTCATTCTTTCTTTCTTTCTTTCATTCTTTCTTTCTTTCTTTCTTTCTTTCCCTCGCTTTATTTCTTTATTTCTTCCCTCTCTTTGTTTGTTTGTTTCTTTCTTTCCTTCTTTTTTTCCCTCTCTTGGTTTGCTTTTTTCTTTCTTTCTTTCTTTCTTTCTTTCTTTCTTTCTTTCTTTCTTTCTTTCTTTTACCCCTTTCTTTGTTTCTTTTGTTTGTTTCTTTTCTTTCCTTCTCTTTCTTTCTTTTCCTATCTTGGTTTTTGCTTTTTCTTTCTTTTCTTTTTTCTTTTCTTTCTTTCTTTCTTTTCTTTCTTTCTTTCCCTCCTTTTATTTTTTTTTCTTCCCTGTCTTTGTTTGTTTGTTTGTTTCATTCTTTTATTCTCTTTTTTCCCTCCCTTTGTTTGCTTCTTTCTTTCTTTCTTTCTTTCTTTCTTTCTTTCTTTCTTTCTTTCTTTCTTTCCCTCCCTTTATTTCTTCCCTCTCTTTGTTTGTTTGCTTCTTTCTTTACTTCTCTTTCTTTAATTTTCCCTCTCTTTATTTGCTTTTTTGTTTGTTTCTTTCTTTCTTTTACCCATTTCTTTCTTTCTTTCATTCTTTCTTTTCTTTCTTTTTCTTTCTTTCTTTCTTTCTTTCCCCTCCTTTATTTTTTTTTCTTTCTTCCCTCTCTTTGTTTGTTTGTTTCTTTCTTTCTTTTTTTTCCCTCTCTTGGTTTTTCTTTTGGTTTCTTTTTTCTTTCTTTCTTTTCTTTCTTTTTCTTTTTTCTTTCTTTCTTTTACCCCTTTCTTTGTTTCTTTGTTTTGTTTCTTTCTTTCCTTCTCTTTCTTTCTTTTTCCCTATCTTGGTTTTGCTTTTCTTTCTTTCTTTCTTTCTTTCTTTCTTTCTTTCTTTCTTTCTTTCAATACCTGTTCTTTTTCACTTCCCGTGTTTAACACGCTCTTTCATTGATTTCTTCTTTTAATTTCCTTTAATTTTTTCAATTGGTCATTTCATCCTGTAATTTCAATTGTTCACCCCAAATTCTTTATCGTCTGCTTTTTATCTGTCTTTCTATCATTCATTCTTTCTTTCTTTCTTTCTATCATTCATTCTTTCTTTCTTTCTTTCTTTCTTTCTATCATTCATTCTTTCTTTCTTTCTTTCTATCATTCATTCTTTCTTTCTTCTCGTTTTTCAATCGATCATTCGAGTCTTCCTGTTTTACGATGACATCTGGTTCGCTTACGATCACCGAAGTTAAGCAACATCGAGCCTGTTCAGAACCTAGATGGGTGACCGTTTGGGAATACCAAGTGCTGGTATGTACGACTGGTGTAATGAATTATTGCTAAGAATTTTAATCGGAGGGTCGATTTCCAATTCCAGAGACGTCCCTTTTATTCTCTTGGGCGCAAATAGCATTTGGAATGGTATGAATCCACCACTTCTCCTCCCAGCTATGGGTTAATTAGTATGACGTGTATCACCAAACCATTATTATGCTAGAAAGAAAATTCTAACAATTTAAAAATATTTTCTCGTTTTAAATATCCCGGAAACGGTTGATAAGCTACAGAAAATGATTCAATCAATCTTTTATATCTTTCTAGCTTCTTTTTTTCTATGAATTTGTCTTTTTAAACTTTCTTATTTATTTTCAATAGATTTTTAATTATTTCTTTCTTCATTTGTTTTGCTTATTTTCTCTTTTTTTCTTTCAATCCGTTTTTCATTTTTTTCCTAACGTCCTCACATATTTTTTTCTTTTTTTTCTTTCTGTCTTTCTTTGTCTTTTCTTTTACTTTTCTTTTTCCTTTCTTTTTCTTTTCTTTTAATCTTTTTCTTTTGTTTTTCTTTTCTTTTTCCTTTCTTTTTCTTTTTTTTAATCTTTTTCTTTTGTTTTTCTTTTCTTTTTCCTTTCTTTTTCTTTTTTTTAAATCTTTTTCTTTTCTTTTAATCTTTTTCTTTTCTTTTTCTTTTCTTTTAATCTTTTTCTTTTCTTTTTCTTTTCTTTTTCTTTTCTTTTTCTTTTTTTTTTTTTTTCTTTTCTTTTTTTTTTTTTTTTTCTTTTCTTTTCTTTTTCTTTTCTTTTTCTTTTTTTCTTTTCTTTTTTCTTTTCTTTTTTTTTCTTTTCTTTTCTTTTTCTTTCTTTTCTTTTCTTTTAATCTTTTTTTTTTTCTTTTTCTTTTCTTTTTTCTTTTCTTTTTCTTTTCTTTTAATCTTTTTCTTTTCTTTTTCCTTTCTTTTTTTTTTCTTTTCATCTTTTTCTTTTCTTTTTTCTTTCTTTTTCTTTTCTTTTTCTTTTCTTTTTTTTACTTTTCTTTTTCCTTTCTTTTTCTTTTCTTTTTCTTTTCTTTTTACTTTTCTTTTTCCTTTCTTTTTCTTTTCTTTTAATCTTTTTTTTTTCTTTTCTTTTTTTTTCTTTTTCTTTTTCTTTTCTTTTTCTTTTCTTTTTCCTTTCTTTTTCTTTTCTTTTAATCTTTTCTTTTCTTTTTCTTTTCTTTTTTCTTTCTTTTTCTTTTCTTTTTCTTTTCTTTTCTTTTCTTTTCTTTTCTTTTCTTTTTCTTTTCTTTTTAATTTTTTTTTTTCTTTTTCTTTTCTTTTTTTTTTTTCTTTTCTTTTAATCTTTTCTTTTTCTTTTTCTTTTTCTTTTCTTTTTCTTTTTCTTTTCTTTTCTTTTTTCTTTTCTTTTCTTTTCTTTTTCTTTTTTTTTTTTCTTTTTCTTTTTTTTTTTTTTTTTCTTTTTTTTTTTTTTTTTCTTTTCTTTTCTTTTTCTTTTTCTTTTCTTTTCTTTTTTTTTTCTTTTTCTTTCTTTTTCTTTTCTTTTTTTTCTTTTTTTTTTTTTCTTTTCTTTTCTTTTCTTTTTTTTTTTTTTTCTTTTCTTTTTTCTTTTCTTTTCTTTTCTTTTTTTTTTTTCTTTTCTTTTCTTTTACTTTTTTCTTTTTTTCTTTTTCCTTTCTTTTTCTTTTCTTTTCTTTTACTTTTCTTTTTCCTTTCTTTTTCTTTTCTTTTAATCTTTTTCTTTTCTTTTAATCTTTTTCTTTTCTTTTTCTTTTCTTCTTCCTTTCTTTTTCTTTTCTTTTTATCTTTTTCTTTTCTTTTTTCTTTTTCATCTTTCTTTTGTTTTTGCTTTTCTTTTTTCTTTTTTTAATCTTTTCCTTTTTCTTTTCCTTTTGCTTTTTTTCATTTCTTTTGCGTTTTCATTTCTTTTTTTCGTTTTTTCCTTGTTTCTTTCTTTTCTTTTGATTATCTTTTCTTTTTCTTTTTCTTATTGTTTTTTTTGCATTTCCTTTTCATTTCTTTTCTTTCTCTTTTCTTTTCTTTTGCTATCAAGCTTCTTTTTTTTTTCAGTCAATTAATTGATATTTTTAATCTTTTCAATTTTATATGCATTGAGTTTTTCGGTCCATTTCCTCGACTCCATTTTTTTTATCACAATATTACAGCCTGCGGAACTTTCGGCCTCCTATCCGTATGAATTCATTTTTCGATTAGTTTGGTCGAATTAGAGTAAATAGAATGTGAGCACGGGAAAATGTTTCCAAGGCATGTTTTATATTATTGAAGCTGAATTTTATCCCCTGCTGGAAAACAAAAATTTCTCTCTCATCCATCTTGGAGAATTTATTTTAAGGCCGTTTTTTGAGCACCACTTTCTTTTCAAAATACAATGCTAAGGTGAAATCCACTTGAGTAGTTTACACATGGAAGTGGTTTTCATTCACAGGTCATTTCGAATGTGCCTTACTAGTTATCCGAATATATCTAATGTTTAGGCCATGTTGCAGTTGTGCAATATAATCTGTATTTGCTTCATATGCCTATAGATCAGATATCATCCGCTAATAGTTAACATGCAAGAATCAAAAACTTATTTAAACAAAGACTTAATTTTTACTATTCTGAATACGCCAAGAGAAAAACCTAGCAAGTGTGAACAACCCAGAGTGAATGATACAGGAATTTTGTTTAATGTATGTATTTGAACCATTCTTCTTGAATGCGGCTAATGAAAATATTTCCTGTTTTATTATATATGCTAATGACATATATTGAATGGTGTCCTTCAATACAAGTTTAAGAGATCCGAATATATAAAAATTGCTATTTGTTATTACTTAATATTTGTAGTAAATAAATATTTAATCGTCTAGGTAATTTTTGACACAAACCCTTGAGAAAAATGTATTTTTGGAGCCAGACGGATTGTAAATATAAATTGTTACGCTTGCGAAAAACTATTTTAGAATTAGCGGTTAAAGAACCGCCAAAATTATTTGTGAATTTTTTCGGATTTATTTTTTGAATTTATGGAAAAATAAGTTTTCATATTTACTGACCAATGAGAAACGTGCTCTGAAGACCTTGTGAAAGTCTGGATGGAGCCGGTTTGGCTGTCTATTGTCCAAAAATAGTGCTATAAGGTGAAAGCCACTTGAGTAAGTGGTTTTCATGCAAAGGTCATTTCGAATATGTCTTCCGAATTATTCTAACATTGTGATGGTAATATCTAATGTTTAGTCGTTGAGGTTATGTTTCCCGATTGTGCAATATAATCTATACTTGATTTATATTCTTATATGTTGGCTTTATTTAGAATGTTCTGGATCAGTGAAGTGAAAAAACAAACAAGAGTGAATGATAAGGAAGACGTGAATTTTGATGAATGGTGTAGAGGAATTTTATTTAATGCCCGTATTTTAACCTTTTTTTTAATGCTGCTAATGAAAATATTCCAAGTAGGATTATTTATGCTAACGACATATGTATTTTGTATTGTTCGGCCTCTAAGAGGAATCCTGTTCTGCAATACAAGTTTAAGAAATCTAAATATACATATCGCACTGGCATTCCTAATCAATGGGTTCTTGCTAAGATGTCTGAGGACGCTGCATCCTTGGACACTACGAGAGGTTTGGTAGCATGCAGGAACTTAAATAAATGTAAATAAGTTATTTATGTGTTATCTGTGATTCAAATCCATGCACTTACAAGTTACATATAAATATGTTTGCACAATTTTTCCAATGATCAGGTTACGGTTAGTTTCTTTGAGTTCTTCATGAAAAAACTTTCCTTCCGGTAAGGAAAAAGTATTATTATTATTGCTGTGTTGTCAGAGTTATTGACCACTATCGACGCTGAAAACTCGATGGTACATGTTCTTTACGGAATTTTTTTCTAAAGAGCTTTATGATACAAATACTTCTTTGTAGGTCTTGCCTGGATGATCAACCTTATCAGTGCTGTGCTTCTCTGATATTTAAGTCGTATTTGAACGTGGGCTTCATTTAGACTGTTCTGGATTAGTGAAGTGGAAAACCAACCAAGTGTGAACAATCTGGAGTGAATGAAGACATGTATTTTATTTTTCTTCTTGAATGCTGCTGATGAAAATATTTTTTGTTTTATTATTTATGCTAACGACATATATGTTGTTCGATTTCTAAGAGGAATGGTGTTTTTCAATACAAGTTTAATAGATCCGAATATATAAAAATGTTATTTGTTATTACTTAGTCTTTGTAGTAAATAAATATTTAATCGTCTAGATATTTTTTTGACACAAACACTTGAGAAAAAATGTATTTTTGGAACCAGATGAATTGTAAATAAAAATTGTTGCGTTTGCAAAAATCTATTTTAAAATTAACTGTTGAAGAACCGCTAAAATTATTTGCGAATTTTTTCAAATTCATTTTTTGAACTTATAGAAAAAAAGTTTCCATATGTACTGACCAATGAGAAACGTGCTCTGAAGACCTTGTGAAAATCTGGATGGAGCCGGTTTGACTGTTCAATGAAAAGGACTTCTATTAGCGGATAATCCAAAAAGGAATTCGAAGAAGAAATATTGACTCCAACTCTTCAAGAACGGAGGATTAGTCCAGCCGATGTTTTCGATAAATCAACACGGGGAAAGATAGAAGGGCCAGTAGATTAAACAGATTCAAACCCCAGGACAGAAAATTCCTTTTCTGCGTCTTCCTAATTAAAAAAAAAAGAACATTCAAGTATAACTTTTCAGTAATGTACTCCATAAAGCCCTCTTGATGACAACCTGTGGAAAACACTTTCATGGTGTGAAGTTCCTATTCCGTTGAAGAAATTAGGGGGTGTTGCTTTCTATTTTCATCCTTGTGCATTTCTTTTTTACTTCTTTTTTACTAGTTCTTCCCTTGTTTTAATTTTTAAAGGGTTTACATCTTATTTACATTGAATCCGCGTCTTCCCCTAAACTGTAACCGTTTTTTTCCCAGACTCCATGAATTTAAGCGTTCAACTAGGCTGGCATCTCGCTCACACACTTTCACTGTCG